TCCTGATAGTCCCAGATTCTTCTCACTCATCCTCCTTAATGAAAATTTCGCACCAGTGCTCCCATTATATATTGTATTTTCCAGGCAGGACGAAAATACTGTGTCAAAATAACAAAACTGGAGCGACAATAAACTATGTAGACGTAACGGTGGTACGACCAGAGCGGGTAATAGACACGATATTCACTGCGTCGGTTGCTACGCTAATCAGTGTGATTTACATCAACTTCGGAGCTGCTCTCGACTGGGATAAATTGAAGGACATCCTCAAGAGACCCATAGGGCCTGCCATAGCCTTCTGTGGTCAGTTCATTTTCCAGCCTCTTGTAAGCAATCATGATAATAGCTATCATTTCTAACAGTAATTACTATATTAGCTCATCGAATTTGGACTTTTCATTCAGAAGGGTGTCTATTAAACATCTGATTTTGTAAATTCAAATAGCAACCACCATTTTTGACAGCACATTCGCGTAAAAGGTTGAGATTCAACATCTTACTGTTTTTTCATACATGAGATCATAAGTGTTCCAAATCGATAAGACCTATTGTAAAAAGTACATAAAGACACCGAAAGCTTGGCAACCACACATCAGAAAAATTTTCTAATGGAGGTCCCCTGATACCAAAAAAGCAATTTATCTTTAACCTCGAATATGATCTTCTGAAGTCATTTGGAAGTAAAAAACGTAACTTCCAATATCAACTAATATTTTTGACAGAAGAATGCACTCTGATGTCGAGTCTCAAACTCATATCGATTGGACTATTTATAACTGCTTGACCTCATGTTTGAAAATGCACTGTGACGCAGGATCTCACCCCCACGAATCTATTGTCTAAGAACCTCTAAAGCTCTCGTTGCTATTCGAATTTACAAAAGTGACCTCGGAATGTGTGGTTGCCAAACACTTTACTTTTCTGACGTTATAGTAGGTCATACTGGTTGGACTACTCATGACCAAGTCACCTCAAGTATGAAAATGCAGTCTCATGCTTTACATTTACTTTGAAGGTTGCTATTTGAATTTGCAAGCTTGACTTTACCCTAGCTTAGCCTAGCTTTTTCCCAGCAGCTGCTGCTGTTGAGTTCGTGACAGATCAAGTCCTCGGTGATCTAGACTCCGACCAGCCGAAATTAACGGCTTTTTGGCAGAACTCGACCAACCATCGAATCCGGATGAGCGCTAGGACGTTTTTTGTTCGTCAAGGTACAGTAGTGTTTTGAAAGCATCAAACTGTGAAAGATTGTTGCGTCTCCAAGCAGTGATAACCTCCAGGTCTTTCGTCAGAGTTTGTCACTCTGAATTCCTGTATGAAGGGTGCTCAGCAAAACTGTGGATTGGATTGATCGTGCAGGAAAAAAGAGGAACAGTGTCGGAGCCAAGATCGATCCCTGGGGAACATCCGTGTTGACGTTGTGGGATGAAGTCAGCCACCCATCTGCAAAGCTTCTCTGGGAGGCCATAGGATGGAAGTTTGCATAAGAGGGCAGCATGTCACATCTGATCTAACGCTTTCGTGATGTCAAGAGCAACAAAATGAGCCTCACCATAAGACTGGATGAGTTTACTTCACAATTGCGTGATTGTCTAGGTTTTCTACTGTACTTACCTCGACGATCCTACAACTAGCCTTTGTGCGAGGTAAACAGACCTATGCGTCGCGAGATGGAAACGCCCAGGAAAATGATCTAAATAAATTCGCGAAGCATCAGTAACATCGCGAAGACACTCATGGTAAACTAATATCAAACCGAGTTTGTCAATCGTTATTGCTATAGAAATAGTGCATTTCCGGGTTTGTTCCAGCATGATTAATAAACAAACAGCTTAGTTTAGTTACATGGCGTGCGGCGCCTGGGTTAGATCTTTTCACCTTATTGTGGGTCGGGGCCGGATTTGATATATCGCGTTTTTTTTGGAACCCAATAACTGGGTTGTCTATTTTTTACACAAATTGTACGCAGTTCAAAGATGCGTTTAAACTTTAAGAACACCCTTTATTTCTAACAGCTTGAATGCCCAGAATTATTACAGATTTCACATTTTTGATATTCTTACATTTTACTGAACTTGAATTACAGGTAGCTTATGGATTAGGAAAATTGCTGTTTCCTGAAAATCCCGATCAGCAGTTAGGCCTTTTGTTCACAGGGGCTTCTCCAGGTGGAGGAGCTTCAAATCTATGGACTCTTTTGCTTGGAGGTAATGTGGGGTTGTCCATTGTAGCTACGGCGATGAGCACCATAGCTGCGTTTGCTACGATGCCTTTTTGGTTATTCACACTTGGAAAGACTATATTTGAAAGTGGTAAGGAAATGATTCATTCAAAACTGACACCTTGAAATACCGAGACTATTTATTCGATTACATGGAACACTAATATAAATGATTCTACTGCACTTTACAATTTTAGCACAGACTCATTTTTTGGTAATTTTAGTTTTACCCAGAAACGGATTTTTAAAAATATCTTCAATGAAACTATAGAAAACGTAATACAATTCAACCATTTCTCCTAAAAAAAGTTGTTTTTACTTCTTTTGTGACTGTCATTCACAGATTTGGTAGATGAGGGTCAAGCTTATGGGCTTTCTAAAATAAAAAACAATCTCGACCTTCTTTATGTTATATAGGTTTATAATCGTTTTACATGTTTTCATATATTTGTAGGCAACATCGAGGTTCCCTATGGGCAAATTTCTTCCTATGTTTTTGCTCTGCTCGTACCCCTGGGCATAGGATATTTGATACAGAGGTACAACAAATATATTGCCACCTTCTTGGCAAAAATAACGAAGGCATTCACGGCATTACTGTTGATATTCGTGATAGTCTTCGCTGCAGTTACAAATCTTTATTTGTTCGAATTGTTTTCATGGGAGGTAAGGTAAAAAAAAACATATAATCTAATCTTTATTTTGCGATTAGCATAAACTAATTTTTAAAAATCCATATCTGACATACACAACGAAATCAGACTAGGTAGAAGGAGCCAGTCAAAGATTTGTTTGTCCCCTAATTCTCATAGTCCGTAGTGAGGATCAAAGTGCACTTGGCATAAGTCATTTTTTGACAGCTGTGTCATTGAATTCGTATATTTAGAGTAATTATTGTAGAAATGGGACTGCTTGTAGATAATTTTGGTGTTAGACGATTTCAAGTCCTGGTGCAAGAGCAGTACAAACTTAATGAAGGCAGATGTCTCCACCGTTTGCAGAGACCAGTATAAACCTAATGAAGGCAGATGTTTCCAGCAAGTATAATTATTATGTCAATACAACGCTGTTACTTTGCTGGTCAAAAATATGCACTAAAACTACGCAACTTTGGCGACAAGCAATGCAAACATATAGGCTTGTCTCCTTCTAATCTATTCGAATTGGTTGGACATGAAGAGGTATTTGAAATGACGAAAAAAAAATTCATCCAGTAGATAACACTAACATTAAACATTGCTTTGATTTAAGATTTTTGTTGCGGGTATGAGTCTTCCATGGATGGGATATCTTTTTGGATACGTAGTTTCGAAAATTTTGAGACAATCCGAAGAAGACTGCATAGCAATTGCAGTGGAAATCGGTATTCAAAATACAGGCATAGCAATATTTTTGCTGAGGTTCACATTGCCACAACCTGAAGCAGATCTCACGACAGGTAAAAACGGGTAATAATTTGGTAAACTCTCAGGTAGACTATGAAATGTTTGTAATGACCACATAATAAACAAGTATGCAAACAATTGTATATTCAATACAGTGTGTTTCGTACTTAAATGGACATAGTGAAATGGTAGGTAGTATGAAGCGAGACCTTTTCATATCTGAAAATAAAAAAGTTTAAAATTATACAGGGTATTTTATCTAAACATATCTCAGGCACTGTTGAAACGACTTTGTTGAAATTTCACACGATAAAAAAGTTACCTAGGAGTAACGTCAGACTAGACGGATGGTTAAAAAATCCAGGGCCGGACTTACTTGTTTCACTTTTTGTCAGAATCAACACCTATTAAGCTGACAAAAGAAAAGGGAAGGTGCTTGTGAACTAGAAAAATAGATTGATTGCCCCCCGGTTTTCTTTTTTAGTTAACTTTGGTTATTTATACTTACTTTTAAAAGTTTATATGATACAAAACTCAAAATTTCAGGCGTCTACTTGGTTTAATCAACATCTTATAGGGCGTTGCACTTGAAAAAATATAAGAAAACACAAAAAATGAATCTGACTTCAGAATTTTGAATTCCAAAAACATCTTTAGTTCAATTTTAAACATTATTTTGTGAAATGTTGATGAAAACAAGTTGTAATCCCTGAAATTTTGAGTCTTGTGTTGGATAAACTGCTGAAAATAAGGTATTTGAATAAATAAATAAAAAAAGATACTAAAAAACTAAGAGACGCGCAATCATTCCATTATGCACAGTTCAATATTCAGCCATTGTAAGTCAGGTAAAACCTCAAAATGTGCATGTTTAGCATGAACTGAATTTTGAGGACTTTGGAAAACTTTTCTACCCCCCACCCTGCTCTTCAAATAGTTTAGGGGCAGGTACACCTTCACAAAAAGTTATCTCTTGCCAATCATCGGCTTCCCCTGAGAAAAATTTCTGGGGCGAGGATGATACTACCTACCTTTTCAGTATGCCCATTCAAGTACGGATCACCCTGTATAATGATCTTATTTTTAAGTAACTATTTTTTCCAGTTATCCCAGTCTCAGTAGCAATACTGACACCTCTTCCTTTGATACTGCTATACTTTTGCAAGCTGACAATCTCAAGGTAAATAGTGAGTGTAATATTAAATGAAATATCATTAATCTTACAAACGAGCTGTTTCTTACGGCTCTTTAGCTATGGTCCGTGAACGATTTCTCGTCCCTCTAATAATATTCCTTTCTAGGTTGAAAAATATTTCCAAATCACGAAGTGTAGATAATACCAATCCATCGACAGCGACTACTTGATTATTGATTTAGTTTAAATAAAATATAAATGTTTCAACTGTTAAAAATTTTAATTAAAAACCTTTATAATACATGTTAAAATTTCAATTATCACACAATCACAATAGAAAAGTAACCAGCTTGACCAATCAGAAATTTTCAAGCCCTTCAGGTAAGGTTCCCTTCCTTTTCATTTCCTCGTAATTTCTATAAAAATCGGAGAAGTCTACATAAGCTTCAATTTTTTGATCTGCGCCTACACCGTCATCAGTTTCAGTCCTAGAATAGAATTAGAAATATTTTGGTATATCCACAAAAGATCTGGTACAAATGTGTGCAACTCATTTACATATGTAATTTAAGTTTAGTTATCTTTAAGAATGATTGTATTCTTCAGAAAATAAAGCATATCTATCCATCTATAGAATGATCAAATCTCAAGCCGAGCACTGTGTTCCTGGATTAATACTTTGTGTTACTTGAAGCAAAGGACTAACAAGCAATTATACCATTTGAAACATCACCTGTATAGTCGCAACTCTTACCTTTCAGAACAAGTAGTGGTAGTTGTGTTAGTTGGCATATAACTGTTTACTGTGCCAGTGTTCTTTCCATCAAGTGTACTGTCATCAGACATACTATTTCTCTCGATGACAGGGTTAAAAGTAACCTGAAACAATTGATTCACACACTATACTGAAGATAGTCAATCGTACAGAAAATAACAGGAATTCTTAAATTCCGCGCATTTGGAGAGGCCGATTGTATTTTTTCTTTATGTTGGTATACAGGTCCCTGAATTATGACAATATTTTCATCTGAATTCGTGGTTTACTTTGTTTATAGCAGCCGCAAAGGTTACACGTGTTTTATAAGCTCGGAGATTTTCGTTTGTCAAATGAAGAAATTGATCGAAGAAATAGTGTCAAATTTTGCGTAAGACATGAAATGGTGAGTCTACTAAGAGTAAATGAAGAGTTTACGAGTTGTATATGCGTTTCCAAGATGGCCGTGAATACGTTATTACGTATAAAACGTATACAGGGTGGCCAAACACGTGACGTCATAAAAAAAAATTAGATTCCCCACATCGAGAGGAACCCAAATCACCCCCATATATATGGTCCGATTTTGTTTAGTTTAGGAGTTATGATTTTTTTTTCGGATTTTTCGAGAATTTTTGAGTTCTGTGTTTATTTTTACCATAACTTCGTTAATAATTGTGATAAGTGCCTGCTTTTTTCACGATTATGTAGCTAAGACCTAAGGCTTAACTATCATATAATCATTCAAGTCATGTAACTAATACTACTTTTTAATTTTTTTCAAAATCTTCGAACATAACAAAAAAGTAAAAAAGTGCAACAACTTTGAACGTTTATAAAAAATTGAAAAAACATGTTCTTACTATTCGTAAGTATCTTAAAAACTTCCTTACGGTATCAGCTATTTACTGTAAAAATTTCATCAACCTAGCTTTACTACATGCTACCGTAATTGTGGCTCAAATAGAATCGAACCCAAAATTGGATAACCCTCTGCTCAATAGAAATTGTTAGTTTCGGAAAAAAAATTTGCAAAAACCACAAAAACACGTTTGATTTTTACTGAACAGCAGATTATTATTCATTTATGTTATTTACAAGAGGTTTTCAAAATGTCTGCCTCTAACAGAAATGCACAGTGTACACCTACGTATGAAATTTTGTTTTAAATCTCTAAATGCTTGTGTGTTGTTTTTCAACACATGTGTCGCTTCTTGAATTTTGTTCCTCAATGAATTTTCATTTGCACATTCTTGGGCGAATGTTATGTCTTTAAAATATCCCCAAACAAAAAAATCAATGGGGTTGAGGTCAGGGGAGCGTGGAGGCCATCGTATCGGTCCGTTTCGTCCGATCCATCTGTCTGGGAACCTTTCGTTTAAGTAGTTTCGCACGATCGTTGCGTTGTGGCATGGTGCACCATCATTCTGGAACACCATGTTCCGTCTGGCTTCCAGGCTTGAATCTTCCAGCAATAATGGTAGGCTATTTTCAAGGAAGCTTTTGTAGGCTACCGAATCCAACCTTGACGGCAGTTCAAATGGACCGATAAATTCCATATTGAATATTCCTGACCACATGTTCACACTAAAACGGTGTTGAAATGTCGATGCATTATTATTATGGCGTTGCTCAAGGCAACGGCGCTTTAGCAGCTCAGCTGTACCGGGAACAACTTATACGCCGAGGCGGACCACAACCTGAGCATTACCCAGACCACCGTGTTTTTATTAACACACATAACACTTTCATGGCAGGCCGCATTCCAGGACGAGAAAGCAATGAAGGATATCCTACAGCTGATCCGGATCGCAGAGAAGTAGTACTTGAAGAAATTAGCCGGAATCCCTCAACGAGTACGAGATCTATGGCACAAAACCTTAGAATACCACGAACATCGATACAAAATATTCTTCATGAAGAAGGTTATCATGCCTATCATGTTCAAAGAGTTCAAGCGTTGATGCCTTCAGATTACCAGTTAAGAGTGGATTTCTGCGAGACAATGCTGCGAAGACAACGAGAGGATCCCGATTTTTTTGATAAAATTTTATGGACTGACGAGTCACGTTTTGAAAGAACAGGGATATTCAATATCCATAATTTACATACTTGGGCTGTTGAAAACCCACACCAGTCAAGGCCGTCGACATTTCAACACCGTTTTAGTGTGAACATGTGGTCAGGAATATTCAATATGGAATTTATCGGTCCATTTGAACTACCGTCAAGGTTGGATTCGGTAGCCTACAAAAGCTTCCTTGAAAATAGCCTACCATTATTGCTGGAAGATTCAAGCCTGGAAGCCAGACGGAACATGGTGTTCCAGAATGATGGTGCACCATGCCACAACGCAACGATCGTGCGAAACTACTTAAACGAAAGGTTCCCAGACAGATGGATCGGACGAAACGGACCGATACGATGGCCTCCACGCTCCCCTGACCTCAACCCCATTGATTTTTTTGTTTGGGGATATTTTAAAGACATAACATTCGCCCAAGAATGTGCAAATGAAAATTCATTGAGGAACAAAATTCAAGAAGCGACACATGTGTTGAAAAACAACACACAAGCATTTAGAGATTTAAAACAAAATTTCATACGTAGGTGTACACTCTGCATTTCTGTTAGAGGCAGACATTTTGAAAACCTCTTGTAAATAACATAAATGAATAATAATCTGCTGTTCAGTAAAAATCAAACGTGTTTTTGTGGTTTTTGCAAATTTTTTTTCCGAAACTAACAATTTCTATTGAGCAGAGGGTTATCCAATTTTGGGTTCGGTTCTATTTGAGCCACAATTACGGTAGCATGTAGTAAAGCTAGGTTGATGAAATTTTTACGGTAAATAGCTGATACCGTAAGGAAGTTTTTAAGATACTTACGAATAGTAAGAACATGTTTTTTCAATTTTTTATAAACGTTCAAAGTTGTTGCACTTTTTTACTTTTTTGTTATGTTCGAAGATTTTGAAAAAAATTAAAAAGTAGTATTAGTTACATGACTTGAATGATTATATGATAGTTAAGCCTTAGGTCTTAGCTACATAATCGTGAAAAAAGCAGGCATTTATCACAATTATTAACGAAGTTATGGTAAAAATAAACACAGAACTCAAAAATTCTCGAAAAATCCGAAAAAAAATCATAACTCCTAAACTAAACAAAATCGGACCATATATATGGGGGTGATTTGGGTTCCTCTCGATGTGGGGAATCTAATTTTTTTTATGACGTTACGTGTTTGGCCACCCTGTATAGGTATGTCAAAATAAACCTATAAAATGTCAAATTGTTGACTAAGTATAGTCTAGTAATATTAGCATATTTCCCCGAAATATTTCTAAAGTCTGGTTTTATTAGTGCAAGTTGTTCAAGAGGGTATTTAAAATATTGACGTATAAAATGAGTTCACCAATTTCTGTGAGAAAACTTTTTATTTGACAACAAAGAATGAGAAAACGTGTTGTTTGCGATTCAATCGAAACTGTTGACAGGAACGAACAAACTTTACAAATAAGATTTTTAGGTATTTGTTAGACCTACAAAATGAGACCACATGTAAAAAGATCCGACTAATCAGAATCACAAACCATTCCGAAAGATAAATGTTATTTTTATGCGAAAAACAAAGGTTACGTTTTCTTCTCCTAAACAAATTCAAACATTTCGTATTTGTGAGTAATTGAACAAATTCGAATAAAATACGTTACTATACACATTTTAAAACAAAGCGCATGTGTCTATCTTCTCACAAATACGAAATGTTTGAATTTGTTTAGATTCATATCGGCAAAGCAAACTAGTGTATTTTGCTATAAAATGCCTTTTGAACTAACACTGTATATTGCTCAATAAACTAGTAGCGATGGCCGGGAAACAATAAATGGAAATTCTCAAAAACTACTTGACCAATCTACTCCAATTTTGTTGTGGTTATTTCGAAGTGCGAATCCTATGAATTTGAAGAATTTCAAATATCTGCGGGAAACCATCGTCGCATTACCAACAAGTGCCAAAACCTGCATTTGCCCCGGTTTTCGACCATAACTTTGTTGCTATTCATCGGACCTTGTTATGTGTGGTCTCATAAATATCTAAAAATCTTATATGAAGAGTTTTTTCGTTCCTGCCAACCCTTTCGATTGAATAAAAAAAAAAACACGTTTTGGGGCCGTTCAAGTATTACGTGAGCACTATGGGGGGGGGCGCAGGGGTCTTTGCTTTGCTTATTTTGGATGACATGTGGGGTAGGGGAGTCTAGATGATGATTACGTCATCGTTAGTTATTTACTTTTTTTACACGAATGGCAACCCTCACATTGTCTTTGCTTGAAAACGAAACGCATTTTCGGGGATTCCTGCAAATAATGCATACGTTTAGTGAACAGCGCGCGTTAATTCCCCTACTCGATTTAGAACCGAGTAGGGGAATTACCGCGCGGTGTTCACTTGTCTAAATTTCCTCTATCAGTGTATTGTTTCGTTTGGATACTATAGCGAGTAGACGTATTGTAAGCATAGTAAAGCAAGTTAACATTTGTGTTACCATTGATTCCATTAGCCAAAGTTTAATGTTTAAATAAGATGTCGTTTCACATAGACAAATCCAAGTTATACCAAAAATTGTTTGAAAGTTTTAAACAATCTCATACAAGTACGAAAGTACAAAATGTACAAAAGATAGTTAACGAAGTGTGGAGAAATTACAAATTACAAGCAAGATCCGACAAGGAACTAGATATTATTGTATCTAAGAGAATCGAAGAAGAATTGCAAGCGGCGAATAAATCCAATCTACTAATTTTTTTTTCTAAGATGAGTGACGAAATCATTTTAGGTACCTATGAGTACTAGAAATATTAGAAATCGCCAAAAAGTTTCTCCTTACTGATTAGAAAATATTATGGCCTATCTCAAAGTATAGAGGTAATATTCATTATATTATAGATTTATTTCTTATGATTGATTCTGTCAATTGGTCACAAAGTACAGGATGTTAGTTTTATACATATATACAGAAAACTAACACCCTGTATTTTGTGACCGGAACATATTTGATTTAAAGCCATAGGGTTTTGTATTTACCATATATATTGCCATACTTTGTATTTATGTAGCTTAATAAGAGAACCTTTAGCAGAAGCCATAGAAAGTTTTTATTTTTAGGCAACCTGTAAACCTGCAGAAAAAACAAACTATACAGTAAGCTTCAAATATTAAAAAAGAGGAAGAAGATAAAATAAAACCCCGTAATGAATCACATCAGCATTGCGAAATTAATGAAAATACAGATAAACAGCGAGCAAAACCTTCTTAGGAAGCTATGGAAAAAATAAGATTGCTCCACTCGAAAAAAATCTGAATGCTTTGTATTCTGCCAAGCCGTGCTGAAGTTGATAAACAGATCATTAAGTTGCGCGAGGAAATAAAAACAGCAAAACAGTCTTTAAACAGGAAGGTTCAAAACGCAGTTGCCCAGAAGAAACACAGGGATGGTATGAAAAGAAAGTTAGAAGATATTTGTCGTGAAAATCCAGAAATAAAAAAAAGACTATCTCTGAGAGATTCAGTGGGACGTCCTAATCTTGAAAGCAATCAACATTCACTATTGAAAACAATCGCGGATATAGCTTTATTTGGGAGTGCAGCAGATGATAGATGACGAACGGAATCAATTCGCAGCGTAAAAACTCTTGATGAACTCACACAAGAATTACGTAAAATAGGATTTGACATTAGTCGCATTGGGACATATCTTCGTTTGATTCCCAGAAAATCTAATTCTGCAGAGGGACGAAGACATGTATCGACAGTCCCTGTTAAGCTGATTCGGGCTCAAACTGATCACCACAAGAACCACTTAGATAGCAAGTTCGCTGAAACATCAATCCATTATTTAGAGAATAATACTTGGACCAGATCAAGTATTTTTCATATCTCAAGATGATAAAGCTCGAGTCCCTATTGGCGTAACTGGGGCAAATAAGCAAGCACCTCTTCTAATGCACATGGAATATAGAATCAAATTGCCTGATCACGATTGGGTAATCGCTGAGCGTCATAAATTAATACCATCTGTTTAAGCTGGTATCAAAACCACTTCCAATATGCTAGGACAACCGCAAGCCGTTGGATATTCTGGACCAACATACATCGCTATTCGAAGTGGAAAGCACAGTTTATCTACTGCTAATACTCATGCTCAGGATTTCGAGACGCTTCTCGAACTTGAAGAGTTTCGACCATTAGCTAAAGCAGACCATGGACTAGTAAAACCAGTGGTAATCATGACAGTTGATGGAGGGCCAGATGAAAATCCACGTTATCAAAAAGTCTTAGCGTTTGCTATACAACGCTTTAAGCGAAATGATCTCGATGCATTGTTTTTAGCTACCAATGCTCCTGGAAGAAGTGCGTATAACAGAGTAGAGCACAGAATGGCTCCTCTTAGTCGGGAACTGGCTGGTTTAATATTGCCTCATGACCATTTTGGGTCTCATTTGGATGAACCTGGCGTTACAATTGATGTACATGTAGAAAGATCTAATTTCGAATTTGCAGGAAATGTATTAGCTGAAGTATGGAGTTCAGTGGAAATTGATGGCTATAATGTTAATGCAAAATATGTTGGGGCAGGTGAACAAGATCTCCCTGATTTTCCAGACATTAAATGGTATTCAGAACATGTGCGTGAGAGCCAATACTTGATCCAAATTGTAAAATGTAGAAATACAGAATGCTGTCGTCCAAGAAGAGGCCTATTTATATTACTAGACAATAGGTTTCTTCCACCACCTGTAAAAGTAAAAGAAACAGTTGATGACTTGGTTTTGGATGAAGGAGGGCAATTTCTTAGTCTTCAAGTCAATTTAGCTCTACGCTTAAGTGCTTCACTCAAAGATTTCCTGCAAATGCCGTACGATTATTTTTGTCCGACGGTAAAATTGAGGCTATCAAGTCGAACATGCAAAACAAATATCCATAAAAAAGTAAACACGCACACTGATAGGAAAGTTAGACCTGTAAGAGTCGCTGCTCGTCGTGCTAATGAACTGATGTGCATTATTCAAAATTTAGAGCACCATGATGTTGAATGGCTCGATGAGAACGACGTAGACATTCCAAAATCCGATGAAAGCGAGCAAACTTACAACACTGAGCAGCAATCGAAGCAATCCAATGTCATCGAAAACTTAAATAATTGTAATAAATCTGCTTACGTAATACTTGAACGGCCCCTTTCTCATTCTTTGTTGTCGAATAAAGTTCTCCCACAAAAATTGGTGTACCCATTTTATGCGTCCATCTTTTGAATACCCCCTTGAACAACTTGCAGCAACAAAACCAGACTTTACGATTATTTCGCAAACCAGGGGTATTTTCGTCTAATATGATTAGACTAGTAGACTAGCGTGAAAATACATCATTCCCCGTTTGCTACAAGTGTTCATGAAGTAAACGACAGCCAGTGCCACGCTGACATCTTGTTGAAAAACCTACATAATGTAAAAAAAGACATAATGACAATGCCACTTTTCAAGTTACGTAATACCCCTGACGAACGCTCCAGCACATCATCAATCGATATCGACTGATTCATGCCATAACATTTTTTAGAATGTTTTGAATGTGAAAGCAGCAAGATTTATTCAAAAATTCTTGAATTTTGAACAAAAACGCCGCTCCAGTTGTGCTAAATAAAGTCAACGCCGATGCAGAATCATTGAAACGTGTTATATCAGGTGACGAACACGATTTTACAAATATGACGCCGAAGCTAAGGTCCAATCGTCCCAATGGACTCATCCTGGCTCGTCAACGATGTCAAATGGTCAATAAGGAGTACTACCTACAAGTTCAACGCCGTTGTATGAAACAATAAAAAAAACGACCGGATTTGTGGAAAAAACAATTCATGGCATGGCTATAATGCACTTGCTCGCATTCATTGCTTTTTCCTGAGTTTTTGGACAAAGACAATGCTGCATCGATGTTTCAGTCTCCATATTCGCCAGGCATGGACTTCTTCCTGTTTCCAAAAGTAAAGAGAATCTTTAAGGACGGATGTTTTACCGAGTTTTTGATCATTGAAGCGTTTTCCGGGTTTTCCAGACCTCAAATGGCTTATAGCAAGAAAGTTACTGAGAACTTTTCTAGTCCAGAAGAACCCGAGAAATCAGAATATAAAAATGTCGGAGCTAAAAGAACTTTTTTGTATTTAAGAGGAGAGGGGATTAGAAAATAAACCAAATAGCGGTCCCGCAAACATTCTTTGACTTTTTCTCATCTATTCATAACATGCGGTCCTCACATTTTGCAAACTCAATTCCATCCCCCGCCTAGCCTAAAAATAATATTAATATTCCCTAATTATTAAATATTACCGTTGGTTTAGATGGCGAAGTAATGGCATTCGGCATCGGATAGTTGAAATTACGCAATACCAGCGTGATGTCTTCCCGTTTCGGAGTACATGGATGGCTCAATGAATTCGACATGTACCAGTCATGGTGTAGTCGAACTGCTCTGTCTACCACCGCTTGTGCAACTCCTGTCAAAGTTGCCTGCTCACGAAACTAGAAAAAAAATAAGAAAAATACAAAGTCTGTAGGAACCTTGCTCTTGTAGGTCAGGAGGAGTGTTAGTTCTGGTATCCCAGATAAGTGAGATCAGAGAGATGCCAAAAAAAAGAAGAACAAAAGGGAAGAGAGGATAAGTGTCTGTTTGAAGGCTACACTCGTTTCAACTGCTAGGTTTATGTGTGAAGCTTTTTGAAGACTAGTAAAATTTATTATTACTCTAGATTTTAAAGAAGTCGATACAGTTTTCTTGGGTACCCACGCTTTGAGAAATCTTGACTATTAAATTCTACTAAGTTTAAATTGCCAATACTAGAGTTACTGTGTTTCCGCATTGTGCCTAACAGGGCCTTAAGTAATATTGATATCTTTCGTGTATAATTACCTGTTCAACAACAATCTGCGCGATGTATTTGTTAACTTGATCGGTTCCAATGGCCTCCTCGATCGACTTGTACAGTCCTGCTGACATTAGTAACAGAAACCGACTCGATTCATCAAGTCTGATCCCGCCGTGGATGTCAGGTTCTGATATGATTGGCTCTTGACATGCAACAGCAAGATCTTCGAAGTCTTTATAACCGGCTTTCACTGTATAGTTGCCTAGACAGCGAGTGTTTTCTTGATTGCCAAGTCTTGTACCTAAGAATAAATATTAAGAAACCTAAGTTAGAAAGAGCGAAACGAAAAACCGTCATCGCCGTAAAAAATACGAACGCATTGCTACCCGTCATCTGTAACCTGTCACCTACCACCCATCACCTGCTATCTCGGAGTATAACCACAACCTTAGGAATGACAGATAGAAAAACTGATTCTGATACACGACTGCCCGAATTCTGGGTGGACATATTGTGGCAAAAAACGCATTTATTGTACTTACTCCTTCTCAAGCTGCCAGTATTGATTCCAATCTGCGACAGCCTCAGCAGTTCATCATCATTAGTAAGATCATGATCAATACTCAATTGTACAACCTTCATTACTGAATTCGTATCAGTTTGACAGAGCAGCACTCTCGAGTTTCCAACGTTGGCCACGTAGAGCTTGTCATTGCATATCAGAGCTACTGCGGCTGCTGTACCCGAGGAAAGTTCACAGTTGATGCGGTTTATACCTTCTACTACTTCTGGAACTTTCTGGTATGCTTCATAGGAGTTTAGTCCTACAATAGGATATTCTAGTACAGACAGAGCACCTATGATATTAGTGCAATCTTTTAGTCTCCTTTAGAGAGAACAGCATCATTCTTTAAAGATGTTCTATATTCTTCACCTATAGGTATAGAGTCCCTTAAGATATTACTGGAAAATGACTAACAGTTTTCAATTAGCGTGTTAATAAAAGTGGTAAAAAAACCGAGTCATAATAAACTGTCTGTTCAATCTCAAAGGTGTGTGCTATTGAGCAAAACTAAGACAAAGAGTTTATATAAACATAGGTCTAATAAGCTTTGATCTGATGTAAAATTTTGACAAAATCAGCTAAAGAGTTGAACAATCTTTAGGAAAAACATAAGCTTTCAAAAAATGACACCCTGTCTCTTGAGGACAAAGCATTACATCATCAGACCTTCTTTTATATCACCTTCTTCTTAAAGAATCATCCCTTGAAGTTTGACTAGGTACCTTTTTAACAGCATTCATATTTTTTGAAAACATAATAAAGGAAGAATATGAAGGGCCATCCATAGGAGACACTCGTACAACATATCTATAGCAAAATGTCAGATTATTCTGTTTCTATTCAAAAATGAATCTCAGAGCCTACTTTCTATGATACTAATTGTATAATGTAGATGGCACTAGAGAACCATATACAGTGTGAATGCTCGAATAAATTCTAATGAATAAAAATTACTTAAAAAATAATTTATCATATGTAAGCTCTTCATATTTTGTTGCAATAGATAAAGTTACCTTCAGGAATATCATACATTAGACTAGTTCTCTCTGCTAGCAGATCTTCTAATGTTTCCATGTAGCCTTTCTCAACAGTAATGAAAGCTTGTCTTAACAGTTCCTTAACTTCTTCATCTGTCTTTTTCTCACTCAGGTGTGAGAAGTAGATTTCTGCTGTCATTCTTTGTGAACAAAAATCAGCTGCTCTCTTACCTTCATGGCCATCAAATACTGCATACCTATAAGAGTATTTCTTCAAAACTGTTGATGAAATAATTATATTACTTTATTGACTTGACTCCTACAGAGGCATGTTTTATAGATTTAAACTGTGTATTTATCCATATATTTGTCTGTAGCATTGTACTTTAGAAAATTGGAAATTTCCTCATATCGAGCCTATCCCAAAAAAGGATTTAAGACCAAACCTAACAACCACAACCTTATAGCTCTGCTTTCTGTTATAAGTAAGTTAATGGATTGGAATCTAACAGGGTATCTTAAACATCATGGCTTGATTAATGAAGGGCAGTATGGTTTCTGACACAAGTGATCAATTTGGGACCTGTTTAAGTTCCATATGCAGCCACAGTGCTGCAGTATTTAGGCTCCTGCCTACTGCTTCAGTATAAAAAAAACATTACAGATCATGAGTTCACTAGAGATAAAGAAATTTCAATTTCTTTTTTGTTTGAATAATGGTTTTATAGATACAGCATCAAAGCAATGATAGCATCTAACAGATCAGCACTAAAGTTGGCAACTATTCAGTAAGTGTGTTTATATTTGATATCAGAGTATATATGTGAATTCCCAAATCTGCTGAATTAGAAATCAAATTCATTAGTGACGAATTATAATTTTTGTATTACATTTGGGCATACCAATAGAACTTATCATTGAACTTAAAATGACAACTGTAGTCCTCATATGGGTGTTCCTCTTGGGGGTTACCATCTTCTCTGTAAATCTGGTTCGTGGAGAAACCTATTCCTGTGTTTTTGCATATAGGAAGATCGTCGGTCCAACTCTGGGAGTTCTTATAACTCGAGGCTGGTGATTTTAGGGAGCCCATTATTTATTATGAACGGTTTTGCATCGAACATGTGTTATACAACTAACTGTGGAGAAGGAGAGCTAAAATGGCCTTAATTTTTTCAGAAAACATTTAAAATATAAATAATAGTGAATATTATCAAAACATAAACATAACCTATAAAAATGAAAATCAGCTGATTGATGTCCACTTGTCAACATCACTGATTTGTCAACCATGAACATGTCACAAACTGCTACCGACATCTGTGGGAGACACTTGTAAGATTATAATGCATTTTGCGAATTATAGCTACAATTTCGGCTTACTATCAATAGATGTCGCACACGTGAATTTTGAATTTGGAGGCAGACTAGGCAAGAAGGTAATACCGCTTTTGTTGAACAATCCAGTGGTTACTTGATAACATAGATTCAATATCTTGGTCAGTACCCACACTATAGGCATGAGAGCAACTCATTAAACTGAAACAGTATGAGAGTTTCTTGAGTGATGTCAATCCTCATAGCCTGGCCTGAGAATACATCGTTAGCCTGTTTTAGAATCCACAGCGAACAAAAGGCAATTTGTAAAATAAAGCACTCAAAATTCAAAGGGAGACTCAGATTGCCTACTTTTCCCTGTGACTTCCTCCTGCTTTGCCTATTTGGCGTAATTTGATTGCTAGCTATTGGGATATCACAATGGTATTTTCAAAACTTTATCTAGTCCTAAAATTGTTGTGTAGATCAATGAGAAGCTTGTCAGAAATATGCCACCATACCTAGATTCCTGTTCCTGCAAATTAATGTAGGTATGTTAATTTATTATCAACGTCAAACAGGCGACAGGCAGTAGGCCGGGCAACGGCGCCAAGTTTTAAATCATGGAAATACGATACTTCCCATTGGCCATCTAGATTCAATTGTTTCCAAATTTTTTTGTGGCAATATCGATATTCCAGTTTGTTCGTGCGTCGGGCGGTTTAAGAAGCGCGGATTACATTGCTTTTATAGGAAAATCGTAATCGACAAAAAGTATCGGTAAAACTTAATTACGAGTTCGTGAGTGACTTTTGCGTTTGAGACAGCCGTTTGGCATCGGTACGAAATCGTTTGTGGTGATCCTAAATAAACTGCCAGTTCTTAATAGTGCATAATGGAGCCTCTATTGAAAATGACGCCAACCGGTGAGTTATGACTCTTCTTTATTTTTGAATAAGGCTTCAACGTACAGGGTGAGTTTTTAGTGTGTAATCGAGTGGTGGATCTAAGGTAACAGGGGGTTGAAGCAAAAACTTTGTAGGGGGTTCCCGAAGGGCCAAGATTACGGCTGGAAGGGCTGCCCTAGTATAACGAACGCTGATGAAAATTGTAGGCACCACATACATACGCGACGACTCTTTGGGAAATATGCCTCTTTCTACAGGGTGGGTCATATAACTACCTGGCTCTACATCCACTTTTTTAAATGAAATGTAAGACTATACTTTAGCGCATATCGCAATTAAGTACCTACTTCATTTCTTACTTTAAAATGAAAGATTAGGATGTAACTTGCACGAATAATTTTTTCTTTATGAAACCCTCTGCTTGCTATTTTATAGAACTTCAAAGTTGCATTTTTGGTGGTAATACTCTAGAATGGAATACTGTTTTTTCCATCTTTTTTTGCTTTTTGCACAAAATGATGCTTTAAATTATAAGAATATAACATACACTGTATACTAAGGAATACAGACGTGAAACTGTAAAAAATCGTTGTTTGTTGCAAAAAAGGTTCAAAACCAGCCGTGTAATTACACATTAGCGTATTAAATAAAATAACAGTTCAAAATACAACCTCAATGATGGTATTTACTTGGTAAACTGTGTAGAGGTGTTGTGTCGTGATTTTTCAGTCTTCCTGAAATTTCTTAAGCATTTTTTTCGCGTATTTCAAAGATCAAAGTTTTTGCGTTTTTAAGAAATATTTGAAAGTACAAACAATTCTGAACGGCCATTTTGAAACGTTCATTTCTTGACAGATAAGATAAATGATGTCCATAGTTGCCAAGTTGTACCTTTGTTGGGAGAAATACGTTGTAAAAATGATGTTATTTGCAAAATAAAAGTCTTAATTTATTGTAAATGGCTTGACTTATGAGAAGTTGACCCAATATTTACCGAAAACTAGAAGAAATTTTGAACAGTATGTGTCTAAACAGTGGAAACTGCAACAGCGGCTCGCGTGGCAGAAAATACAAAAGGCACCAGCGGTCATTGGACAACCTCGCTAGGTCCACCCAACATATCATCGTCCAACATTATAGTTAAATAAAGATCATCATCATTTCATCAAATCATCAAAAAACTTGCAATGTTCTTTGTTATGTTTTCATTATTTAGTGATTTAAAACAGCTACTTTTTCAGTTATTTCGCATGTATATCACATTTAATTAGGTGTAGTTTGTGACATCAGCTTCACTTTAAATAATTCTTCAGGTATAGGTATACATACAAAAAGTAAATAGATTATAACTATAATATAGGAAAAACAATAACCGAATCACTTTTGTAAAGGGCATAAGGCATTCTTCAAAAAAGTGTCTTTAGCTAACGCTATCGTGGGGCACGAGTTGGATTTAGTACAGTAAAACCTGCCGGCCACACCTCCAAATCACATTTTCATGACAATCCTGTGCTGTTTGCACATTTTTGCGCTAGTATATAAGTAAGAATTTGACAAACCAAATTAGGGTGTATAACTATCCATGATTTGGCAACATCGCAACTAGATGGAGAAAGTAGGATAGTGATGGTGATAAATGGTGGTGTAGTGATGGGAATATTTATCTAAAATAAAAGAAATTACTACTTAACAATGAACTATTTTGATCATTAAAATAATGCAAAATTGCATTATTGCGATGAATAGTGTCACCCTAATTCACATTGTATGTTATATTTATACAATTTTGAGCAATCTTTTGTGCAAAAAAGAAGAAACCAGCTTATAGAGCTGTATTATACCACAGAATTACCAGACAAAATGCAACTTTGAAGTTCTATAAAATAGCAAGCAGAGGGTTCCTTAAAGAAAAAATGATAGTTTCGTGCAAGTTACATCGTAATCTTCCATTTTAAAATAAGAAATGTAATATTTGCGATATGCGCTAAAGTATAGTTCAGCCGCCTGAAGTTTGATATAGCATGTAGAAGGGTTTTGATTTTTTTTTGAGCTACGGGATACTTTGTCCTAAAAAATACTCAACCCTGACGTCTTATTTTATCTCATAGTTTTATATTTTATTTATAATTGTATTCATCATTTACCTTAGAACGCAAAACGTATTTATCTCAAAAGATTCAAATTGAACCATTTTTACGGTTGTGTTACCCCTTTCTTATAAGCTTTATTTTGGTATATATAGGTAATTTGCACTTCGTCAGAAGCTACAAATCAAAGTGAGTAAATAAACATTTTTTGTATTTGCTTGAAAAAATGGTAAAACAAATCATACCCTAGTCATATATGGACTATATTGACATTGACATAAACGAGTATAGGTGTAAACAGAAATTCCACGACCTGACTTGGCGGGTCATATCTCAGATAGGGCTCAACTCTTTTCCTGAAGAGTTCCTATGGAGGCATGAGGATTTGTAAAATCAAAAACTCCTAGTTTGAACAGTTCGCTCTGGAGATGCATTTAAAGTTTCAAGGCTATGAAAAAATATGAACTTTAGCCTTTTTTCTCGCTATCTAAATGCTTTTTAATTTTATGCACCATTTACATATACATGAACGCAAAATGAATTTCTGTAAAAGAATTCCAATAGATGTATTTTTACAGTTCTGGGTTACCCCTTTTATTAAAAGCTTCATTTTGGTATTACAGTTCAAAATAAATATATACATAGATGGAAATTTTTTGAATTTGAAAAAATTAAGTATAACATTTTTGTCGCAATTTTAAGCCTAACAACATACAGATTCGTTGAAAAGTGCCCTTTTTTGAATACTGCAAATAAACGAATCAGAATATTTTTCCAGCGGTTGCGAAGAATCTTCCTGGACAATTATGGTCATTCTTAAAAGTCCTGTACTAATAATAATACAGGGTGCAAACGTTATGATGGATATTATTTAAATGGGTGATAGAGGGGGATGAAAGAAGCAAAAAGTTTCATATAACATGAGGGTCAAAACGGCATTTTTTTAGAGAAAAGCGACTTTAAAGTAAAATAAAATCTGACAACGCCGCAATGCCAGACGCAAATTACGACGCAGTGTAAATGAAGATGGAGTTTTTTATTTTTGGCTCGCAAAATGCAAACAATTAAAAAAACGGACTCACTAACTGTCTCAGCGCTTCACCTGGTGTGTGAAAGTTTATTGAACGAATTAAAAAAATCCACTTATAAATAGGGAACACAATTTTGATACATACATTGTTTTTCTTTTTAAAACCCACACTGCACTTTTTTGTATTTCAAGAAGGTGTTCAAAATGTCGTCCTCCACTTTCCACACAAGCTTCATTGCGACAAACCCAGTTTCTTCTTACTCTAGGTCCTCGAAGTTGTCCATTTATTATATCAGTCGCATTCATTTTTTTTTCGCGAAGTTATGCTTCAGTTGTTATTGGACCAGCCCCATAAACCATACCTTTAAGTTCTTTAAGAAATCCATCGGATTGAGGTCAAAGAATCTTGCTGACCATTTTCGAGGATCAGGAGGGTTTCGACCGATCCAGCGATTTGGATAATGTTCATTGAAATACTGAATGACGCCCCGTCATGAAGAAACCACAAATTATGTCTCCGTTGTCATGGCATGTTGTCTAAGGTCTATTCCAAAAGTTCTGGTAGGTTATTGGCTAGAAGGCTAAGGTATCCTTCTCCTGACAACTTTGGGGGTAACTCGAAAGGGCCAATTGCCTGATCGTCAAGAATACCCGCCCAAATATTTATTTTAAAACGTTGTTGGAAATGACCTTCATGAATGGTATGAGGATTTTCTTTGGCCACGTGTAAATATTATGAAAAATTTAATATCCCATCTCGCGTAAAAGTACATTCGTCCGTCGCTAGAATGTTTTTAAAAAAATCCGGATTTTTGTGCAAAAACCACTGACAGAATGTTAGTCTGCGAGGATAGTCTTCTGGTAACAAGGCCTGCACTCGTTGTACATGGTAGGGATAAAGCAAATTTTCCCGTAGGATTCTATGGACTGTGGTATGTGATAGTTCTATGCGGCGGCCTAATTCCCGAGTGCTGATATCTGCATTGATTTCCACGATATTTAAAATTTGTTCCTCCTGCTGTACCGTAACCTGTCTTTCACGAGTGCGAATATTAGTGGGCTGAAGTCTCTGGTACTCTTGCACAAATGTCCTTCTGTCTGGGTGTACCCGTTGGCGAAATCTGTTGCAATAAATTTGAGCTGCAAGATTTGAATTCTGACGAGCTTCACCGTAAACTAACAACATGTCAGCGAAATCTTGATTCGTGAACATTTTAAATAAACACGACGACGTACGCGAACAAAAACAAAACAACACGCCCGATAACTAACCACTGTTACCGTTTGCGATCGATTGCCGGTTCGATAAGAGTGATGAAAGGCCGACGCGCTGTTGTCATGTGTGTTTTAAATATTTAATTTAATGAAACTTACTGACTACAAATTTTGGCTTAACTTAGAAAAACTTAATGCCATTTATTTGTTAATTACCCAATTTAAAAACGTTTTAGATTAGATTATAAAAATTAGTAAGATTGTTTTGATTGTGGTCGATATAAAGCAAATAAAG